TACTGTACTATTTACTAGGCCTATAAATAATAACTAGCCAAGGAGATTATCTTTTGTGTTATTTCCCCTTAACGTCGTTTTTTAAATTGTTCTCTAATTCCTCCATTGTCCAAGTTCCCCTTAACGTACAGGTAATAATAATAATTCTTATTATTATTATCATTTCGGCATTACATGTAATGAACTTGGTCTAGCCTTGTAATCAAGAACCTGCCGATTACTATGCCTAATATTAATAACTAGCTCATTTTTACATTCATTTGGTGCTCTGCCAATTTGGCACTGGTCTTATGTATTTTAGAGCTGCCTATTCTCAGCTCTTCTCTTAATTTGAAAATAACTGTCACTCTGTTTCATTTGATCAGTGATGAAGAAAAACGCGCTCTTCCTTACTCTCTGTGCTTTTCCCAGAAGCGTTTTTAGTAGGCCATGATAATTACGCAAAACCCAGGCCTAACTAAAAAATTAAAATTGTCATAGTATGCAACTCAAGTTAAAATAACACTTTTCATTACTCGTGGACCTTAATCAAATATTATATGTAATTTTAAACGACCCATTGGTATTAACACGGTAACATCAATGTATTTTTAAAAATTAGACAGCGAGCTTCTCTCAGAAGTTGTTCTGTAGACGTTTATCTTTGACCTTTTGACCTTGAATTCTGCAATGAGATTTTCGGGTCGATTCAGCCGAGACGGCCCGAGTGGAGTTTCATGTAAATGTTTCGTACGGAAAAAAAAATCGCCGTCGGGCAGGCGATTCTGCGAGCCCTGATTAATTTGTTAGCCTTGACAATTGATCGTGAATCAGTAAAATCTTTAGACATACCTCTTTAAATGCTCCATAAATGATTACATTTATAATGCACGGTAGTTAATTCGCAGGATTTTCTTAGCCAGCCAGAGGCAGTTTATTACACAATTTCTTTATTGTCCATTATAGTAAATATAAATATGCATGTTTTAAACATTTTGCTGCAAAAAGCAACTCTGTACGACCAGTGGTTTTCTAGATATAGCTCCCTATATTTCCACCCCTAATTTGCATATTAATTTTATGCTAATAAGTTCGGCAAAATGGCACTTCCGATCATTTTTGAAGAAAATGTTTCATTAGCGTAAATAGAAATATGCATGTTCTGAACAACTTTAAGAAAGAATCAACTTTCTACGACAAGTGGTTACCAAGATATAAGTACCCTACATTTTCAGAACTAATTTGCATATTTTAACTAATCTGCATATGAAGATGTGCGTAAACAAATTGGCGACTCATTTTATTGGATTCAGCATACTTCAAAGTATATATTCCATCCAAAAAACTAAAATGATCACAAAAATCCCACGGGAGCCCATTTTTCGACATATGGCCCCGGACTATATCTAGAAGAAATCCGTCGGCGCATTTCGAAAAATAAGTTCCGCAGAGATTTTGCCAAAAATTACGCTTTTGACCAAACCTAGGCCCTATAGCCTAGGCCTAATAATATAATTAATTATAGTACTAGGCCTAGGCTGGCCCTATATATAGCCAATGAGCCTAAAATGATGCAATTGTTTTTAATTAGGCCTAGGGGCCTATGCAGCAATTTACGATTCCGCGCACCTATTTTCTAGCGATTTTCCCCGCAAATTTGAGCTGATTTTTTAGATACTCAGCCTATGCCTATCCTAGGCTCTGCGCAATTAAAACATCTTTGCAGTAGTACTATTAACTTTAAGTATGGCCTAGCTAGGGCTAGGCCCCCTAGGCCTGTCTGTAATGGCTAGGGGTACTAGGCCTACTCCTAGGCCAGGCCTAGGTTGTTCTACTACTGTAGCAGGCCTAGGCTAGATGCCCTAGGCTACTACAACAATTTTTTATTAAAAAAAATATACCCTCAGGCCAAGGGCTAGGCGTAGCCTATGCCTACTGTCTGTTGTAGGGCGCAAGGGTAGTCCTAATTTCATAATTATATAATAATATTAATTAGGCCATTGCTAGGCCAGAGGCCTATATCTTAATTATATTTCATTAATTTATATTTTTTCAAATGTAAATTCTTTAAATTAAAATGTTTTGAATTAATTTTTAAAATTGATGATATATTTTGCTATATATTTATTTTTGTATTTCACTATTAAACTTTTAGGTAATTGGTTTTTGTGTTTAATTTTGTTTTAAAAACGAGAATGAAAGTTGTAGGCTTGCGTCCGAAAAATTTTGAAAACACATGAGGCATATTTTCGTTTTTCATTATTCATTATTTTTGTTATAAATGCTGTCCACAAGCCGCGGCATTGGTAATTTTACATTTATTCCCAAGAAACAATGCTTACAGTCAGAAATGTACACTAGCCTATAAAACAGATCCTTTTCTACATTTAAGACCTCTTTAAACATACGAGATTTCCTATTTGTTAGAAATATTGAATTGACCCGTAAATGACCTCAGCAGTGATCGGCGATCATGGTGCGATGTGGCCAGGCCTGCTTATTCTCGGTGTTTGCGACGAGTGATCAGTGATGAATAGATCGTTTTTCTGTCTGTTTACGACTTAGAAAGTCCGTTTTTTAAAACGAAGTATATTTTTGTTTCAAAATAATGAACTTTTCAAAATAATGAAAATTTTCGTGCGGTAGCTTTTTAGGCATGCGGGCGGTGGACGAAAACCTACAACTTTCATTCCCGTGGCCTTATTATAATAAAGGCCTATTATAATTTACATTATTTATAATATTTTATTTAAACAAGGCTAAACCTTTTTTTATACAAGTTTTTATCAACCCACCGCTCGTTAAAATGATGATTTTGAATAAAAATGAAATTTTATTTTTGGCTAATTAGCACACTTTCCATCAAAAGTAGAAATTTCAGAGGAATTAAAAACAATAAAAGTGTTTCTATATTTTTATTACTGTATGCCCGCCGCTGCCTTAAAATAAGAATTACATATTTCTATTCCTAATTATATAATTTTAAAGCACTTTAACCATCCCATTTACAGTGTTCCACCAAACAAATTTTATTTTATTTTCTTCTCCGTCTAGATGTTTTTAGCAATTTATATTTGCTAAATAAGATTGATTTTTTAAGATATTTAGGAGAACATTAACTTTCATTGTTGAATTAGATTTTTGAATGTTATTTTAGAGTTATTAGCAGTCAGCCATCAAAAATCATTTCAAGAATATCATGAAAACTGAACGAGTTGCTGCTGGAAATGGAACTGGAGGTGCAGCAGTGGTAAAACCAGAGATAAAAAAGAAAAGAAAATGTGAGGTAGTAGAAACAGTTGATGACAAATGTCAAAGTTGATTTACCAAAATTATGCTTTAATCAGCAACCCATGGTTTCCAGCGGAGAAATATTTTGAAAATACTTTTTTCATTAATTAAACATCATGGAGGGATATCCCGCACTCCAGTTGGTGTCAGAGGTATGTACACTAATCCAAGGTAGGGTTTTGTGTTTAAAACATGTGTAGGCCCGTGCGACCGTTTCCAGGCCAGGCTTGGTAGACGGGGCCTCTACTAGACCGCTGCCGCACTGCCACTGACCCATTCAAATACACTAACTTAGACCTACTAGTTAGGCCTATGACAAGGGTGATTCATGACAACAAGCACAGTTAGCAATACGTACCGTCGTAAAATCTTCTCTCTCCTATGTCTCCTCCTTCTCCTCCTTCTCCAATCTCGCCCGATTTGAAAGCGTCAAACAATTCATTATAACGGTGGTGTTAATTTAAAAAATCAAATAAAAACATTTATTGTAGGAGTTGATAAGTAAACCTCACCGCTCCTACCGCTCCAATCTATTTTAAAAGAGACATTGGGCATTACAAATAGATCCATGCTCTGACACATTTTGTTACCATGTACTGTAAGTACAGTAGGCCTATTTCTTACAGATTTTTTGGATGATGTGTTAACATACAATTCATATGATGCTATAGGCTTAAACTGTTAACTATAAACTGTCTTTATCTTATTTAAGATATTTTAGTCTATAGGATTTTGTTTGAATTATAGAAATCTAATTACATGAATTATTTTGCTCACAATTTGTCACTGTTTAAAATAGGAAACAAATGTTTTGACACATCTCCTCTCAATCTCACTATGAATAATTTTTTCTTCACACACAAATTGAATTACGACTATTTAAACATAACTATACCCACAAAATATGATATCAATATATAATTTATTGACACAACATCTGAAGCCTATTTGTGAGGCATCAAAAATTAGGCTCTAGCAAGACCATTGGATAAGGCTCAATTCATTGAGCCTTATGTTTATTTTTGAAAGGTCACAAAAAATATCAGTTAAAGCCAAAGTATAGTTTTGGTAATTAAAACCATAAAAAAATTTAAAATTGGTGTTATTAATCGAGCTTTAAGAATTCCTGCCTTGTGAATTATTTTCTCCAAAACCATCAATTTAATAATAATAATAATAATAATAATAATAATAATAATAATAATAATAATAATAATAATAGATGGATATATATAGCGCAGATCTCTATGCGCTCGGGACTAAATGTTGTACTTTTCAATAACGTTCTCCTCCCCTGAGGGTCACTTCATGCCACCGCAGCCAGTAAACTGGCGCACTTTTATCTGTCCACGACAGGGGCCGAGTGAACAGTACACCCCCTACTCATCTCGAAAGATGTACTGGGTTCTTTAAAGTGCACATGAGCATTCGTGTACGCTGGGCCTAAGGTTTATATTCTTGTTCCACCACCAGAACTATATTAGCGAGCCGGCTGCGAACCTGTGCCGATATTGTTGGCTATGATCACGGTGCCCCTGCCTTAACTGCTCAATTTGCTTGTGTTTTTTTTTTTCAGTTTAAAATCTGTATCTGTTTTTGTTAATTTTTTGTTATTAATTTTTATTTTCATTTAGGAGAATGAATTCATTGATGAAATTATCCAGAAGTTGATTTTTCCACGGCTGAGGTCAGGCCTCAAAGAAGTCATCCCACTTCACTGCCGAGGGGAGGAGAATAATAATAAAAATAATAATAATAATAATATGCAAGTTTTTATTTAGCGCTCTATACAAGTAAGTCTCAGATCGCTGAGAAGAATTGCAAAGGCCACTGGCTCTAGCCCTTCTACTGGGTACCTTCTATGTTTTTAACATTCAGTATCATAATAAAGCAAAGAACTATATCTTCCTAGAATCCGAGATGTTTGAAAAGATGAAGGAAGCCAACAAACATGTCATTACACTGTTTGTAATTTTCTAGTTGGAAAATAAGAGTTTATAACCTCATTCATTTTGAAGGGGTAATTCTCTCGCTAATCTGCCATTATAGGCATGGTTTATAAGTGTACAGATTAAATAATAATGTATTTTGTGAAAAAAAATAAAGGAATGATTGTTTATAGAATTTTTGTGTGGTCTTTATTGATTTGTGGTCTATTGAAATTATTTCCAAGGAGTCAATTTAACCCCATGGAGTGGGGAGTTAAATGGAGTTAAATTTAACTCCAAAAGTGGAGTTAATAATTAATTACAGAACGACTCCTTTTCTGGAGTAATTTACTCTTGTATTTTTACTCCCCAAAGGGAGTAATATTAACTCCAAAAAGGGGATAGGAATCACCCTCTTTTTGGGGTTAATGTTACTCCCATAGGGGAGTGAAAATATGAGAGTAAATATTACTCCAGAAAAGGAGTCGTTCTGTACCTCTTTTATTAACTCCACTTTTGGAGTTAAATTGACTCCTTGAAATTAACAGTGAGAGTATAAACATCGCTTTAGATAAGAAAGAAAACGGATAGAAAGATCAGAAATGAGGAAGCATGAACGCAATAGTATATACTTAACGTTTAAGGCAACAAGGAGGAAGGGGGGATCATTGGGTTCTGTCCATAAGAACAGGACGGTGTTACACTACAGTACTATTAGGTTTATAGAACTCAGAGTGGTTCGAAAAGTTTTTCTTAATTTCCATATATTTTTTTTTGACCCACCAGATCCAGAGCATAATAAACTGTTTATATTTCTTTATATCATTGAATACAGGCAAAAGCAGCCATTTTCAATCTTAAACTCCGGATTAAGGCAAAGGAATTGTTTTCCGATGGAATAAAACAGGTAGGCCTACAAATTTTACTTTTCATTATAATCTCTAACTTTAAAGGAAAAGTGGTAAATTTATTTTTGACATGGGCCAGCTATTTTACAATGAGCTGGCCCATGTGCCTTAAATTACCTCTACACGTGATGATGTGGTCTTTCTCTTGTAGCCTTAAGGTTCATGATAATTTTTGGTTCCTTAGCGCCTTGAGCACTACTGCAGTGGATTCATGCGCTTTATAAATATTATTATTATTATTATTATTATTATTATTATTATTATTATTATTATTATTATTATTATTAATATTATTATTATTATTATTATTATTATTATTATTATTATTATTATTATTATTATTTAATCGGCTGCTTCAATTCACCCTGGCCGTGATTATTAGAAATGTTTGATACTGTCCATGGAAACGAAGAAACTACCACGTTGTATACTTCCATTTTGTTTTATAAATAATAATGGGTGGAAATGTGCATGATCTTATCAGATATGCCTCAGTAACCAGTTTTCGTGGGTTATGCTTACTCGGGAAACCCGCTGTCGTCAAGGATGTAGATGGGGCTATTAAGCAACATCACTTAACTTATTTCCCCATCAGGGGTGGCACCATGATTTGCCCGACGGGGGGCGATGTCCCCGACATAGGCTATGTTCACACACACGGCGTAAGGCTGGCTTAAGCCTGGCGTAGCGTACGCCTTTGTGTGTGAACTAGGCAGTGGCGTTGTTAAAGCCACTCACTACGCCACGTCCTTGGCGTTATTAACGCTACCTGCA